ACAAATAACTCTATTCTCTCTTTTGCATTCATTTTTTTACAATCTTCCTTGCTTTTGTAGCAGTCTTGCCAGGCCAGTCACTACGTGGGATAAATATAACAGTACCTATTATGGTTCTGTGGATAAAATAAAATACGAAATATTTTGTGGACAAAATAACACGAAATAAATACATAACAATACTGACTAAAACAAATATCTTCTTATTCTTTCGTTGAACTAAGCACTGATATTTTAAAACAAACTTTTACTTAAATCATTAGATTTAAGACTTAACAGTCTCTGATTACATATTTTCTACCTTTTAATCCTAGATACCTACAGTAGAACTACAACGATCACAAAGCACAGCAGTTTGATCCATATCAGTTATAGTCACACAATCTGTGCTTTCAACCGAAAAATCCAAGTCTTTCATTCTAAAATTGATCCAACTATTAGTCTAGTTTTCTAGAATAAAACCACAGCCTAATGAGGCCACTTCACCTAAAAAAACCAAACTATACACGCTGTATAGATTACCATCAATGCAATTCATGATGATGCAGAAAGTGCACAAACAAAAGGTGTGAAGACAGCCTTAATTATCTCATTATGTGTTTAAAGATATAAAGGATGATCTTTTATTCAGGGTTTATCATCTAAATAACTTGTTTTCCCAATTGTCACTCATTCTGGTGATATATTTATGTAAGGCCTTCTTATGTACTCGTCATGTTAGCTTTGCGCATGTGCACTTTTAGTGTGTGTTGAGTTAGTTTCAGACAGTCAAGGAAGCTCACCTTTCTCCCTGCCGTTCTTTGAAAATGGCAGAGGGTCATAAGAGAAAAAGTGTCTATGGAGTTCATGATTAGATAAGAAAGGCCTCAGAAGAGTCAGATATATCCTGCTGTCAAAGTGGCCCGCTGTCACTACCTGACAGAGGAGAATAATAACAACGATGGCACAGGCACCACGCGTTGGAGGTGTAGTTACGTGACCAACGGGGAGCAAAAAGTAGTAATCTTCTGTCCGAACGGTAAGTTAACTGAGTACACGATAAACTCCACTATATAGTCCCCGCTCTATAAGGTGAATGAGGGATTTAGGGGTTAGGGAAGACATTCAGACACAGTAAGCTTGTGTGAGCTATGAGAACAGCAACTTAAAACAGAAGTGTGCACGAGGAGAAATGGGATTGGGAGATGGTACATGGTTGTGCATCTGCAACGAAAGGGCAGGTATTTTAAGAAATGTGCGAAAATTCCCCATACTTCCTTTAAGCATTACTGCATGCAACACATCAAATGTTGGGATGCAATGTGAAAAGTTTTTGCGCAGTAGTTTTTACACCTCTTTTATTGTGACACAACCTCATAAACTTCACTGTATTTTACTGTGAATCTTCAAAAAAAAATGCGTTCATCTATAATCAGTCAAATATTCTTTGATGCCCCTAAATAGAAACTAGAGGAAAATTTTACCCTCTAGGGCAGACATGGGCAAACTACGGCCCCCAGGCCATATACGGCCCGTTAGGCTTTTTAATCTGGCCCGCCGAACTTGTCCAAATTACCATATTTTCACGACTATAAGGCGCACATAAACGTCTTTTTTTTCCCTCAAAATGTGCGGTGCGCCCTTTGGTGCGGTGCGCCCTATGTGTGTTGTAACTGCGACTTTTGAGACCACCTCATTGAGGAGATGATGAAAGAGTGGCTGAGGGAGGTGTATGTAAGGAGACCAGGTTGTTTTTTTTTTCCACTCATCACCATCACTGTTAATCTGTGACTCCATGCGTGCCCATCTCACAGCTGATGTGAAAAACATTTTGCGGGAGGTCTGACAAAGGAACTTCAACCGCTCAACATCGGTGTGAACCGGACGCAGCAGGCTCAGCAGAAGCAGCGAGTTTACATGCAAAGTCAATGGTTGACGCGCGTATAGGCGCATCAAAAGGTCCCGCAGCGCGTTTTGAGCAGCAGGCGCAGCGCGTCAGGAGCGCTTAAGCATCTGACTCGCCGCCAACGCGCTGCTGCTGCTCGAGAAGAAAAATTGAAGTTTTGCTGCTGGACGCGCCGCATCAACCAATTAGAGAAGCTGATCTGGGGGCTGACAGCGAGAAAGACACAGCACTCTGATGACATATGATATTAAGGCAAATGAAAAGGGCTGGATGGATGAGGAGATCATGAAAGCGTGGCTGAGGCAGGTGTATGTGAGGAGACCAGGTGCTTTTTTCCACGCATCACCATCGCTGTTAATCTGTGACTCCATGCGTGCCCATCTCACAGCCGATGTGAAAAACATGCTGAATCAAATGAACGCTGTGCTCGCCGTTATCCCGGGAGATCTGACAAAGGAACTTCAACCGCTCGACATCGGTGTGAACCGGCAGTTCAAAGTAAGGCTGCGAGCGGTGTGGGAGCGATGGATGACAGACAGAGACCACAGTTTCACGAAAAGTGGAAGGCAGCGCCGGGCAAGTTACGCCACCGTTTGCGGATGGATTGTAGATGCTTGGACTAACGTGTCTGCTGGCTCTGTTGTTCGAGCTTTCGCAAAAGCAGGCATCATTTCTGAGGAGCCGCCCGGCACGGAAAGTGACTCTGACAGCAAAGAAGGGGAAATTGGCTTGTCTGATTTAGTGCAGCTGTTTAATTCAGAAACAGAGAATGATGACTTTGATGGGTTCGATTAATACTTTGTAATAAATACTTGAATAAAGCACAAACATACTCAGTTTTGCTCCCGCTCTATTTTTCTACCTGAAAACTTAATTCAACAGCAGCCTCTGGGCCGGGTCGCCTCCGGGTTCACCGCGGTGGCTGGCAGGTGTTTTTCATCTAAATAATCTAAATCTTGCAGCTATATTTGCTGTGATCAGTGGGAATAAAGTAGTTTTAATATGTTTTTAAGGGAGAAAGTCCACCTGAAAACTTAATAATTGCAGTCAATTCATCCAGATTATCATCCTGCCTATACTATTTCTGTCGGAGGCGCTCAGACCCCCACATACCAGCGGTGCGCTGACAGTAGAAATCCCTTCATCAGCAGCCTCTAGGCCGGGTAGCCTCCGGGTTCACTGCGGCGGCTGGCAGGTTTTTTTTCATCTAAATAATCTAAATCTTGCAGCTATATTTGCTGTGATCAGTGGGAATAAAGTAGTTTTAATATGTTTTTAAGGGAGAAAGTCCACCTGAAAACTTAATAATTGCAGTCAGTTCATCCAGATTATCATCCTGCCTATACTATTTCTGTCGGACGCGCAGAATTGCCACAACGAAACTAACTCCAGACTTTGATGCACTGGCAAAAAAAGGAGAACAACAACATTGTTCCCACTAAAATGTGAGTTTTTCTACTGTGTTATGAAAAAAATAGCAACTTGCGCATTTACGCACAGCAGCGGTACAGTAGCTTAATTAACATGCCGCACATCGCTCTCATTTTAAAGACCCCTACCTTTCGTTGGGTAATATGTTCTGAATGTTGAAAGTGATTCCATTGATTTTTTTTTCACTAAATGTTGATTTCTTTAAATTTGCACCTTCAATTGTCTGTTTTTTTAAATACATTTCAATCCCCAGGTTTAATAAATTACATTGCTTGTCCAAATGCTCCTGGCCCGGCCCTTCTGTCAAATTTTAGAACCCATTCGGGCCCGCAAGTCAAAAAGTTTGCCCACCCCTGCTCTAGGGCCACCTTATTATTAGAGCCCATATCATGTGTGTCCCATTTAATTTCTTTATTCTTCCACCTATGCTGTAAGGTTTTCAAAAGGTTTATTACAGAACTCTGGGGCACAGCTGACAGGTCATGAATAAGGTGGTAAGGATTAAAACTGGGTTTGATGATAAAACTATTTCCGACAATCTTAAACAAGCTGACGGGGATGTAAAGAACTGATCAAAAATGCAGCTAGTGACTGCATAGTAACAATGGAGAAATTAAAGGGATCAACAGCCCAGGATGCAGACGTTGATGACTGAACAGTTTGACCTTGATAGTGAGCATCTGAGGCTCTGTGAATGGAGCACTTGTCTTACAGTTTGAAGGTTTTTGGAAAATTCCATCTTACCTGTTATCACATGCTAGTGTGCCTTAGGCAAGGCACTTACAAAACCAGGTTGTGTATCAAACTTTTTGCAAATTACTGTAGGTAGTACAACTGAGTGAATGCAGCTGTAGTGTAAAGCTTTAAGTGGTTAGCTTCACTAGAAATCGTTATATAAATTCAGTTCATTTAACATTTAATAAACTCTACAAATAAGCTTTGAAAGGGTGTAAAGAACACAAATGTTAAAAGAAACTTGTAGTAAGACATGTTTGTAATGTCAATGCACATGGCCTTAGTAATTTCGAAACTAAAACAAGAACAGAACCTTTCTGCCAACTTCACCATCAGGCACTGTTTTCCATCTCTTAAAGATCCACTTAAATTAAAGAAAAAAGCTTGTGGTAAACTGCTGATATATGTGTAACTTTAAATGGGTGTGAATACTTCTACATGCCATTCTGTAATATGAAGGAAAATGTTCAACCAGCTTTCATTTGAAAAATATAAAACTTTAATAAAGGCTACATCTCTCAATAATTACAATAATTATAGATCCATGTAAATCTTTAAATGAAACTCTGTATATAATGTATAATTTACAGTTTAGATATTATGAACCAAATACAACAACCAAAAAAGGCATTGGTGTAAAAAAAACAAAAAAGATAAAGCAAAAATATGATTACAGGACATTATTAAAAGCATAAAAATATCTTCTCAACATAAAAACCCTTCTGAAAACCAAGGGATATATATTAAAACCCTGAAACAGGGTAGCACATGGTATGGCATCCATGTAGGCACAGGTGCTGTACTCAAGAAACACCAGAAGTCATGTGTATGTGTGTGTTTCAGTATTCATACTTCAGAATGCATAATTACAATACATGCAGGAGTTCTGCTATATTTGATGTTACTGTAACAACATTCAAAAGATACTGGAGCGGAAATTCTTCACATATTTTTTTTACTTTTTTCCCCCCTTGCACACATTGGCTGACTTCATCTAGAGGTCGCTCTTAGTGGCCAGAACCGATTCTGTTAGCATGAGTTATTTAGGTGCACAGGCTGTAAACACTGTCTTCATTAGGCCATTTGTCTGTTTGAATCTGCCCCCCATCCCTTTATTTCCCGTCTCTGTGCAATGCCTGATTTACAAACAAAGGCACAACAAAAAAAGATTGAGCTCTGTCGCTAAAGAGGGAAAAGACAGGTAGAAAGGGGAGGAGTGGCGAGAGATTCAATGAGCTCTGGGAGATCCTAGTGTGACAACTTTGAACAAACTATCAGCAGCATATAAAACTGGGATCGACCACTATTGAGACGAAGCTTCAGCCTGGGACCCAGGTCGTTATTTTGGGTCTTAAGTTGTAAAAAAGGGTAGTGTAACGACCATAGTGGAACATAAAAATGGACAAACATTAAATATTATCACCACAGTATTCTCCCAACATTTAAAGCAGCTTGATCATTGGCTGGAAACAGGAAAAGGGGGTGGGGTCACAAGTTTAAGACATAGGATGGGAGAGGAAAAGATTTTTTTAATAAATACTAAAAAAAAACTTTTAACTCAAAAAAAAAAAAAATCAAATCTATATCTATATAGATATATATATAGATATAAATTAAATACATGTATATATACATATATATGCATGTATGTATATGTACACATATGGAGTTTCCATTAGCGCCTGCTTAGCCCACTGCACAGGACACCATCAGTCTGCCACCATGTCACGTCATCTGTATCTTCAGTGGTTATGTCCAAGAGAAGTCGGGGTGTTTCCTCCCCCGTTGTTTCTTGCCTTGGTTTTCATAGTTTCGTTCCCTTGTGTGTTCTAAGGCTGATTGGTTGAGAGCATCAGGGAGGGGGCGGCTCCTCCTCTGAGTTCGGCATACTTCATTGGCTCATCTTCCTTCAATCGGTTTTTTTTGTGCTGGATATATTAACTCTGTTTAGCTTAATAAGAAGAAATATGTAATAAAAAAAAAAAAAAGTCCAGAATTTTTTTTTTGTCTTTTTTTTTAACAGAGTCTGTTTCTCAAGTCCTTTAGGGAAAGCTTAACTTGTGGTTGGACAGGGAAAGGGCGCTGGTTGTTTGTGTTTCGTCTTTTTAGTCCATCCTCTCCACTTTGCCCAGAACCTTGCCCTCGTACATGGGCAGCACAGTGGCATCTTCCCACACTTCCTCAAACACCGCACCGCACTCAAACTCATCGCTCGCCTTCTTGAAGTAGTACCTGAAGAGGAAAAAAAAAACACACACACAAAGTAGTTTGTGATTAGAAAAAGCGTAGGTGAGAGTTGGAAAAGAAAGGAAAAAAAGGAATCCTAAGCTCAAACGATAACTGACAGAGCTGCAGCAGGAGGGCAACTGATACATTTCATCTTGTTCTAAACAGCTTTGAGGCTCCTACACGACTACTTACGTGTACACGCTCCCTTTAGTCCAAATCAAACACTCACACTCTCTTAGAGCCAGAAATGGATCTTGTACAAAACAACTTAGTCATAGCCTTCAATGCCATCCGTGAACACTTCAAAGGTAGAGCCTGACTCCACATCACACCGCTGCGCAAACACAGCTGAACCTCTCGTTTAAACACTCCCTGTGATAATTTGAGCCGCTAAAAACGGCTTGCCTGTGTGTGCTGGGCTCCTCGTTTGCAGATCTGTCCTGCAAGGACTTATTAAGTTGAAGGGTTAATTATAGGCTGTCCTTAAGCACCTCCCACCCACTGTTTTCCTCTCTCTCTATTCCCCCCTTCTTCTTTACAGTGTTTTTTGCCTTCTAATTGGGCTTGCTGTCAAATGAAGGGCCTTTCTGTCAGACAGGTCGACGTTTTAGGTGCCCGAGTGTCTGTCTGTGACTGCGCTTCAACGCCGGCCTTAAAAACTAAGTTCTTCAAACACACAAACACATTGCGAAAAAAGCTTGCCATTAACGACAGAGACAGAAAAGCTAGTGATGCCAGACAGAATCTGACCTTTGTTGGTATGAGAGTCTGATGGTGTGATAACCTTGAGTTAAGCAATGTTATTTATAAATCAGTTGTATTTTCTATGACATGTCAGGACATCCGTTTTTTCAGGCTGTGAGAAATCTAGACATTCAGCAGATAACAGGAGGGCTGAATAGATTAGACAAAGTTGCTGTCTTTTTGAACCTCTGTCAAAACATGTGCTGACTGTGAAAATCCATGCAATCTTTTGAAAGTCTGAAAGTGAATGTAATCTGCTTTTACTAAAATACATAAAAGAATGTTGGCAGTTTTGATGGCACTAATGTAAAATGCTAAAGTCAGAATTAAAATCTCAGCCCCATCGCCATTTCCTCAAAAGGGGGTAGAAAAAAATGTTCTCATGACGGGTAGGAACATTATATTAAATATATAGATATATATACTTTTGCTTTATTCATATAAAATAAGTCAGTTGTATCTAAAATCAGCATGGACAGAATGAAAACTGGAAACTGTGGAAGGCTCAAAATTTGGCGTTTTAACGAACACATCAGCAAATGGGTGCAACAGTGTGGATGAAGGATCTGCTCTGAGAATTTCTTCCTTAAGGTCAGGGGTCACCTGGCTAACCCGCTGCTCTTCTTCTTCACACAAGCGGAGATAACTCGCAGGGTTAGCTGTGTCCCAGTGACTGTGAAGTCTCCTGGTGTTCCTAATGATTCTACTCTCTACTTTAAACTCAGCAAAAAGATCAGCGGGAGGGGATTTAATGATAAGCTTTGTAATGGAAAAAAGCCATCATTTTGTCCATGTGTGCCTGCATTTAGAATAAAAATAGGTAAAAAAAAAAAAGTAGGGGGAACCAAGTGTTTAATGAGCTCAGCTTAGAGTCATTCAAACACATGTAAGGAGGGTATACATAAATATACACAAACAGCGTGGTTTTTGATTGATACTGCAGAACAATGTAAATGAGGTTTGCTTTATTACAGCTACAGAACATGCACCACAAAGTGACATTAAAAAAGAAATTTCTAAAGAAAAAATCTAAATTGATACCTTTCATTTATACATACTGTCTGGATTCATTTTTTTCCTAAAAACAACCACACTACCCATCTCCATCTAACTGATTGTCGTATTTATGTACTATGGTTTTTTTTTTCACAAATAAAAACAAAATTTTATGCTCTGAATAGTTCAAAGTCATCACTTTTTTGCAGACGCAGAGCGACAGAAGGAGTCTTTCCACTGGAACATGTTTTATGTGGCAGGATTTTTCTCTCCTCACAACATCTGGCACCAATATTGTCTGGCAGATCCGTGGAGTACTGTTCTCTGCTGAACCGCTGCCATGTCCAAATTAACCAACTCCACACATTCTGCTGCCATTGAAGCCAGGCGCTTCATCCCCCACCCCGTTCTCACAGGCTCACTGAAGAGTTATGGGATAGCTGGGGGAGCATTGGCTTGTTTGCAGGCCTTCTCCTTTCTCTTGCCTAACAAGCAGATGTGACTGCACATGAGCCTGCAAAGGCTTCACTTGTTGAAATATCAGGGAGTCCTCCCTGTAGCAGGTAGTACAGTAGTTTTAACTGTTGATTACCAGAACATGATGGAAGCTACTTATAAAACGTCCTAATGTTAGGAATATGGCCCCATCATCTCACACATACACTGAGGGTTTCAATCCTGTGCCCAGTACCCGCGGAAGAAAAAGGTGCTTGCACAGCATTTGATTGTAACCCCTGATGTAATAGTCGGGTGGAGGAATTTGAAGCATTGCGATAGTTCTAGCACACAAAATAAAATAGCCCAGGCTTCAAAGCCAAATTTATTAAGGTTACCTTAGCATGGAAATCAGGACCAGATGTGTGAAATTTCACTCCAGAACCCCCTTTCCGTCCCCATCTTTCTGTAAAGCTCTGAATAAAGTGGATGAGTAGAGGTTTGTTTCTTTGTCAGCTATCAGGCTCCAAAACTTCCCACATATAAACAAGTACAGTAAAAGGAAGCTATGTGTAAAGTTGATAAACTCCCACTGCTGTGATTCTTCTTCTGTCTTAACGGAACTATTCAAAGCGAGAAAGGCATCAGAAATTTGCACCAGAGAAAGTCGTTAAATGACTAGTTAGTATAAAATTGTAAACTAAAAGAATCTTCTTCCAAATGCTAAACACGATTCATTAACCAGTTGATAGTGACAACACTCTCTGTTTAATACAGACATTCATTTATTGTTAATTAGTTAACTAATTAACAGGTGGCCAAGTTTCGAAAAAAAAAAAAAAAAACAGAAAGCAGAGAGTTATGAACAGCTATTTAAAAATAACCTGTATTTCAGGCTATAAAAGGGCAGAGAGAGCAAGGCTTTCTGCAGATAACAGGAAGGCTAAATAGGCTGCAGCAAAATTCCTCCATTGTATTTCTGAGCATTAACCTCCTTATTTCATTAAATAAAATGTTTCCGTTTAAATTTGTCATGTAATACGAAGAGTATATTTCCTTTTTATTTTTCCACTTCCACCACAGTAAGATCATAAAAAATATTTTGGACATTGTTAAATAAAGCTCTTGAAGTGAAATCAGAATAAATTTAAATGGGTAAATCTGAACTTTACGAAATAAAAAAACATACTTTGGATCAGTACATGTCTATCCAGAGTCGTTTAATATAGGATTTGTTGTGTCACTGCAGCACATTTACCTATAGTTGCCTTTCTTGCTCAGCTGTTCTTTGAAGTGACCCAAGGTGAGGCAGTGGGTCTTCATCATGCTGCGATACGGAATTTCCTCACCACAGAAAAAGTACGTTACCACCAGCTCCTTTGACCTGAAATTTTGAAATAATATTAGCTTTTAGACAAAAAAGAGAATAAAAATATTTAACAAATAAGATAACAAAAAGTCGCTTGCAGAAAGGTAAACCAGAGAAACTAAGAGATCTTGCCACTAGGTTAGCACATTAAAAACAGCGGAGGTAATATGCAAAACAAAATCTTTTGGTTCTGGTGGTGTTTGTATTTCAGAAAAATGGGAGACATATATATATATATATATATATATATATATATATATATATATATATATATATATATATATATATATATATATATATATATATATATATTTAAAGCATGTATCATCTTAAAAAAATTAAAAAAGAATTAGAAGAGAAGCCAAGAACTATTTTGACTCATTACATGAGGGACGCATGAATAACGGGCTGGTTATACTCCGCAGCAGTATGTCGCAGTGAGCTTGACGCAGATATTTTTGATTTATGCCCAATTTGGAAGCGCGGTCTGCACTTTGTTATTCCATGCCACAACAACAATCACGAACTAGCTGTGGTCTAGATACGGCTGAGGCGGTGAGGAAGTAGGGGCAAGTTTTTCCAACAACGGAGGGACATGAGGGCAAAAAAGAGCTGGGATCCAGGTGGAAAAAGGATCCCAACGTTCTCGTGCACCTCTCTCCTCTAGTTGCTCCAACTTCACGAATCTTTTTCCACAATGACAGTCATACAAACAAAACAAGCCGGTAAGGTACCAAACAGAAAATACGCAGAGTAGAGCGGAAGTAGATTTGACCAATTAGATGCCTCCTGTCTGTGGTTGCCTACAATTTGGGAGAGGTGCAGCAGAGTGTCTGCAGAGGGGGCAGGGACGTCTCTGTGTTCACTGCGACACATACGCAGACGACCTAGTTTCGAAGTATAAATTTAGCCTCTGTAGAAATCACTTAAGCAGATATCAAACCAGATTTAATAGATAGAGGTGAGAAGAAAAAAACAAAAACAAAATAAAGGCACATAGTTGAGATTATTGAAATCAGAGCCAAAAAACATACATACTCTTCTGGGTTGGTTTGAGTGGTGCCTGCACCAGTTCCAACCGGTGGAAGGCTCCTGTCTCTCTGAAGGCTACTAGACGCTGTTGAATGCCTGTTAAGGAAAAGCTATGTTAAAAAACTATCCCCTTAAATTATTTTATTATTGTTATAAAGATATTCAAGACATAACATATTCCTTTTTGATTAAACTAGCACCTTTGCTTTGGCGGCTTGGAAACCTCTTCCAGTCTGCGACAGGCCTCCTCAAGCTGTGCCAGGGTGTTGGGAGGCGGTAAGGGGGGCATAGCAGGATCCTGGATGAAAGGATGGCCTGGGTGATGGCCGCGAAGGTGACTCCCATTGCAAGTGCCAGCTCCACCCCAGGTGTTGGTCCTAGCTGGCAGGATTTTGGAGTCAAGAGGGTTGATCTTCTTCAGGCCTTGAGTGCTGCTGAAATGAGAAAAATTCAGGTCAGTATGGGACGTGGTTTAGATCTTCTACTGTACCTATGAACTTGTGGAACTTGCCTGTGTGGCTTGTGCTTGCCCTGCCTCTCGCTCTCTAAGATCCACTGCCAAACATTCTGAGAGCGGTCGGTGGACACCATGGGAAGACATGGTGAAGACACACCCTCACCAGAGGCCTTCACTGGTCGCCTGGAAAAAGTGCTGCAGCAACTGGAGAGTCAACAGTGAGGCATTAGGACCCAGCAGTATTCAAATAGCACAATCTCAATACAGAAAGAGGCAGCTAGGATGCTGTACTCACGCAGGTGTGAAGTCGGAGTAATTGGCACCCCTTTGAGGGCAGAGGCACTGCACGCGCTGAGCCATTTCAGTCTCTATCTGCTCTTTCGTCTTGGGCCCAGCGTGGTGATGATGTATGTAGTGATGGTGGATATGCTTTGTGGATTGCCTGCCTGTCATCAGAACCTTAGCTGGACCGTGATAAGCACCAAAAAGACTTCCATGGCCGGAAGACACCAGAACGCCGGTCTGATCTGGAGAACGTGAACGCGGCGAGTGCCGCACCACACCAGGTGACTGACACCCGGGGGTCTTCAGGACACGTGAAAGGTGCTCATCTAAGATGGCCTGGGGGTCTTCCTCACACTGGGCTGCAGATGGGAGCAGGGGATGATGGAGGGAATTGCTGCTGCTGCCCTCCTCTCTTTCCTCCTCCTGTAAGCCAAAAAGAAAAGGCAATAGACTAAACATTAATAATCACAATTTTGAGGAACTTCTGTGTCAGCTTCCATCCACTTCTATCAATCATCCTATGAAGTCAAAGAGAGCAAACGCCTGAATAACTTGATGCGAGTTTTCTCCTTTGCTGCACTGTTATCTTCGCTAACAGGCTTTGGGTGTCCTTCATCTATAATGCAGAATCTGCCTGTGCTTCACAAAGAAACTGGCACTACACATATTCAGCAAATGTGCCACTAGAGAGCAACTAAGTGCTATTTAAAGGCACTTAAAGTGTGTCTAGAAACATAAGTTTGAAAGTTTCTTCTTCCAAATGAAATCGGGAAGAGCACAAAAGAAGAGCGAAGAAGCAGCTAAACCCAGACAAACTTTGCAATCCCATGCCACATACCCTGTTCTTAGTCATGCTAAAGCTGGCGTAAAGGCATTTGGAATGAAGTTCAGAACCACTGCCTGAAATTAATTGGATCCAAGTAGGAATTTACAAAGTGGGAGGCATATTTGAAGTCGACTATTTTTGAGGAGGCACAACGCCTGGCAGAGATATTCACACTCATTAACCATTCCACTTCTTATCTGTTCCACAGGACACGGCTTACATGTGAAAGGAGGCGTTAGTCAGATCAGACTAAAGTTGAACCTTTTTCGTTAACAGGCAAATGACGACCTGAGCAGGAGAAATATGTTGAACACACCATCTTAATTTTACTAATACTAATTTACCTCTTGGAATGACCTAGTCAAACCCAGACTTAAACGCTGTTGATAATTTGACTTGAACATTGATGTCTGCAGATGCTCAACATCCAGGAAGTTTGCCATTATTTCAAAAAGGACGTATAGATAAACATTTCTTCAGATGAACAAATCTAGTAGCGAGGAGTTGCAAAAGACTGTAATTGCAGAAAAATGTGATGCAATGCAGATTTTAAAGGTATAGTGGAGGATTTTCTTTTTATGAGTGGATTATCAAAATAGGTGGTCCTTGTAATAGTCAATCATTCTAGTGATATGTTTACCTAAGGCCATCCTACGTGCTCGTCCCCAGGTAGATATCTTAAAAAAATGCAAATCTTCTTTAAGTAAGCTTGTAAGAGCGATGCAAACAGCAGCTTTTAAACAGAGCATGCACGAGGAGAAATGGGCTTGTGCACGATCTTGCATGCGTTTAATAGGTGTTCCCTCTTTGGAGTGGGTACAGCGTTGTGCATGTGCATTTTTTTTTTAAGTGGAAAGGGTGGTTCTTTTCAAAAAATTGCTAAAATCCTACCCTATACCTTCAATATCATGTAATTTCCACTTCACAATTCCAGCTTGTGGTGGTATATCACATAAAGGTTTGTAATTCTGATGTGTCAAAATGTAAATGAGTTTGAATTGCATCAACAGTTTTGGAAAAGCGCTTTTCTTTTGCTTACCTCCTGAATTTGCTGCAGCCTCTCCTCCAGTGAGCTCATTGTGTCCTGCTCTCGCTTCAGCTTCTCCAGTTTGGCAATGAGCTGGGCGGCAAAGGCCGAGGGCTCGACTGGGGTCATCTCCTTAGGCAGCCGGTGTGTCCTCTGGAGAGTAAACAGCACAGAGAAAGAGACTTTAATAAGTGTGCAAGTGTGGCTACGTGGTGTTTCAGATGGATGCAATATGGTGCATTAATCCATTGCCCTTGCCCAAATCGTTTCTCGTTCCAAAAAGCCTTAAACTTTTCCAAAAAAAAAAAAAAAAGGACATAATACATATGCCCTTGGCCTCAAGCTAACCTGAACCTTTCTTGCTGCCCATCCCATCCCAGATCTCATCATGCCCAGTGCCCTTGGCGGTGCCAAGCTGCTGGGAGAGAGGAAAAGAAGGGGGTAGCTATAGCGGGGTAGCAGTTGGTCTCGCTTGGAGGGGAGGCCCCCTGCCTGTACCCTCTGTAGCCCAACCAAACCATCAGCAAGGCAGCCTCTGAAGTCAGCACACTTCAAAGGGCCCTTGTCAAACATCAAACGCACACTAGGGGAGGGAGGGACACACGGCTCTAAATCTCTGAATAAAAGCCAGATATCGACGAAGAAGAGAGAAAAAAAGGAGGGGGGCGAAATTAACAGCATGAAGAAAGAGGAAGAAGATTGAGATGTGTGTTTGTGGAGTGGCATTGGTGGCAAAGAAGGAAAAGAGAGAGAGAGAGAGAGAGAGAGAGAGAGAGAGAGAGAGAGAGAGAGAGAGAGAGAGAGAGAGTAAGAAGACAGAGGAGTCAAACACTGGGAAGATCTGAAGGAAAGTAGTAATTTATTTCCAGGCTGCATGCAGGGCAGCTCAGAGGTACTCTAGTCACATTATCCTCCTTTTTCTTTAACTATATGCGCTGTCTTCTCTTTCTCCATTTCATACTTTTTTGTTATTTGGCACACTGGCTTTCTTGATTTTGACTTTTTTTGTTGTTTCATCTCTTTGTAGACATGATAAAGGGAAGGAGAAAAAAGGCGAGCGGAGCTGCTGGCAAAGGAGCGCCAGCCCTGCACGGAGGCCCCTGCTGCCTGGGGCTGGTGCATCATGGGAGACAGAGCCATCTCCAAATCAGGAGGGAGACATTAAAGAGGAGCAAGTGGAAAAGAAAGACAGAGGGAGAGAGAAGGATAGATGGAGAAAATTGTGGCAAACATAAAATGCAACTACGAACACACATACATCCCCTCCAAAACAACACATTCCTGTGTTTGGATAAAGAAAGACAAAAGAAATGCGTGTTTGATTTTCTGCTTCCTAATCTGCATCAACCTGTTTTGACCCAGTTATCTAAACCACCCAACCACAGCTTAAGCAGGTCAGATAATATCTTACATCAAATGATACACAGACTTTCTCAAACACACAAAAGGAAATTGGACCGTATACACATGCTTGAGGGATCCTTGGTTTGTAAACTGACATTATGATGATTTTTTACATGAAATTGTTATTAAATTGACTAATGCTTCTTTGGCAATATGGCTAACCATATAGCCAAAGAAGCAAATTAAATGGAAAGAACCTTAAACATCAGTTATGCAGATGTTTTTTTTTTAGGGATTCTTTGAAAGTAAATAATTGTTTATAATTTAAACCTAAAAACACTCAAGTTCTTGCGGGCAAAAAAAGATTGTAATTAATGAAACTTACAGGAAAGTGTGGCAGCGTAACTTGGCCGTTGATCTTAATGTTTCGATGCATCTCTCGCTGGAGCTGCTTCTTGGTCCCCATCTTGTACGGAGGGATTCCATCTCTGCAAAAACAACAACAACAACAAAAAACCACATATTTAATATTATATTATTGTTACCAGCTAAAAAACTAGGATTTACTTTTGCCACATTATGCTTATTGTTTCAAAGCACATCTATAACAAGAGTGCTTAGATTGAAAGAGAAAAAACATACAAACGTGGCACCAACATGTGATTACCTACTAGAAATATTAATGAGCGTTAAACTCATCACTGCTTTGTATCAAATGTGTGTTAACAATATGGAGTTTGATTACGTCTTTGGAGAACAGGTTACATCTGTGTGACTGTGTGAGATACCAATATCTTTAAAACAAAGAAATAAATTCATGAAAAGTTTTCATTTCAAACAGTCTTAGTATTGCATATTTACCATGGATACGATTAGTGCGGCTTAAGGAAGTAGACAGTGATATGTGTTTCCATGAGAAATGTAAAATGAAAGGTTCAATAGCTTGTAAATAATTTCTAAATTGAGCAAGTTTTACCTTTGAGTAATTTAATTTTAACTTTGCTGTGCTCTGATGCTTTCTTGTTTTCTGCTATAGGTCATATTCTTGGACTGCTCTTTCACTCCCTTAATGAACCAATGACAACTCTCTACATTTGCGAGATATTGCAGTTGTTTTTCACTTCTACAGTTAGTTTAACAGAAAAAAAATTTAACAGATTTAGCTTTCATATGTTTAGTGGGTAGCTACAAAAGACCACAGCAACTTGCCAAGTTCTGGATCAAGTTGTTTTTGGTTGGAAACTTTGAAAAAAAAATATGTTTAGCAAGCGATGCTAAATGACTGTGGACAATTAGGACAATGTGTCTGGATATTGTAGGGATCTAACTACCTTGTCCACCCATTCTGTGTGACGGCTTCCTCCAGTCAGCTGCCACTTATGCTTGGCCCATTATTGCGGCCGTTTTGGCCGCTCAGAAGAGTCTGACCTAGCCCAAATGCTACTTTTTTTTCTGCTGGCTCTTTGAAATCTCACACTCATGCACATATGCACCCGCTGCCATCTTCGTTTGGCAAGCGCTCCGCAACGAGTCTCTGATCTCAGCAACATCAAAAGGCTGGTTTGTAAGATAAGGTAATGTTTGAAGTTGGTGCAGCAGCATTCCCCAGAGTCCAAGTAAATCCATAAATAAGATATAAGCAAAAAGAGAAAAAAAATCCCACCCCTCCACCTCTGCTACCATAAACCTTTCTTAGAGCTTCTCTTTTTAAAACCCCTCTCGTTTTTTTATCTGGGAAATTAGATTCAAAATTGCAGAAAGTCTTTTAACTGCTAATCAAACTGTTCCTTTGAATCAAAAGGAGACGAGGACGAGTTAAAAAATAGGACAAGTACTGCCGTTCAGCAGTTAAGCCATTTGTTACATCTGAGGATCTCTACCACATTTATGTCAGAAATATTTAGTAGTGGCACTATGACTCATGCTTCTTCTACCTAACAATTAACGCTTCCCATCTATAAACCATAAACCCTTAAAAAATGGAAGTAATTACAGGACACCTTTCAAAAGTGAAACCCAAATGGAGCCCCCGTGTAACCAACAAAGCTCACAAAATCCTTCCTGACTGACTACAATATTTATCAATACAGAACATCTGAGACCATATGAATGGACAGCAAGAGAAAGCAGCCGTAAACTCTTTTACCGTTTCATGGGCCCTCACTTTTATGGGGAACTCCTATTCAAAGGTGCAAGTCATTTTCAAAGCAGCCAGTCACCCTCTTATCCCACTAAGCTCCCCTCACCTAACAATAGGCTGAAAGCGATTCAGTTAAGCCCTTTATACTCTATGCACTTTATTTTCTCACTCCCTTGCACTTGGATCCTCACCACTCTCGCTTCCAACTTTGAAGGTGGAGGAGAGAAGCTGTAAGGGTGGACTAAACTGGCCAGGAGGAGGAAGAGTTGAGGGGTGGGGGTTCCTTATGTCTTGCCTCAGGGGCCTAGGAATGAGTAACCCCCATGAAAGCCTCGCAGACACATGATCTCAGCACGGCGCAGAGGCCAGTGGCAGGAAACCGAACCACCATGTGAGTAAGCTTTCTTTCATTTGGTGCCAACATTTTTCAATGACTTTGTCTTGAGATCCGAATGGCCAACACACCCCCCCTCTGCAGGTCTTCAAAGGGCAAAAGCGATTTGATAATATAAAAAAGTCTGGTGGCAGAAGGGTGGGTGGGATGCGTACATATCAACTTTGAGGAAAACGAGGCAACGCTTCCACCCACATCAAGATGTTCTTTTTTTCTCCCTTTTTTCCAGCCTACAACACATCAGAATAAACTTCAAAAGGCCTTCAGAAGTAATGACTTTCCCAGAGTTATCTCCCCTGAGGCTGTAGTAACAACTTCACATTAATAGAATTACCTGGAGTCAATCACAGAGGATAATTAAAATACATTACACACCATTATTCTTCGGCAATGCAGTCCATTGGCCCTGAGGAAAAGCCAAGCTTGCTGGATTACAAGGCCAAATATTTTTCTTTACATCCCTGGACTTTTTCCTGGGAAGGTGTTGACTGAAATCTGGCCGGTTTTCATACAGATACGATGGAAGTAATAAAATTGCACAGAGCTTTGGATGTGATCAGCTTGGATTAAAATAAGCTTCCTGAAAAAGTTGTAGCTTCATATCCAGACTCGTCTGGGCCTTTATTTATTTTTGTGCATAAGATATGAATAAAAGCACGATACTTACACACTGCTGTCGGTCATTGACAATGAATCATCCGTCGCTGCATCGCTTGAGATCTCACTGTCATTGGCACTGGTGGCGGGGGCAAAGACATAGCCAGAGTTGACAAAGTACGGGCTGGCAGGGTCTCCCCGTCGTTGGGACCTGTGCAAGATACAAGGGAAGGTCTTAAACACATGGTCCCCATGGGTGTGGTTGTGAAGAAGTGCTTCCTCCATGACAGTTGTTAAGTCAACGCTTAGGCAACAGCTTTGCAGCTGCACCAGTAAGAAAACAAGATCAATGACTGATCAATGACTGACAACTCAAGTACTATGATATTTTTTATATAGTGTAATAAATGGATCAAAACCAACAACTACAACCAATGTTTGACTAACTTAAACATCCAGCAACACATCTATGTTTTTACTTTAATTTTTTGAAATCTAGGAACCAGCTTAACCATTTTCTTTTTCGGGAATCGGGAAGTCAGACCTCAAAGTAAACAAAGTCAGCCAGAAAGAGACTAATCAGTATATGTTAATATTTGGAAGAATTTTGGGTGTATAACTAGTTCAGTTCAACTTTTTTTCCAAATGCTGAACACAATTCTTAAACTTGTTGCTAATTTGCCTGCATAATATGGCACAATTCTTGTATTTATTTCTCCTTTTTGGTCTCCATTCTGACTCCTATTACTCATATATTATATCTATAACACTTAGACTTGCCAGATATAAATTGAATGCCCTATGATAAGTTTAAATAGTTTTAAAGTGCAGCTGGGACATTTAGTTTCCTTTACTACTTCTTTAAAAAAGTCTTTAAAAAAAGCATACCGATTGTAGTTTGGTAAATAAAAGACAAACCTTTATTTAAAATATTTTCTTATATGTTCTTGTTGCACTGGCTTCCAAAACTCCCATATTAAAGTGAGGTTTGAGAACCAGTGTTTTAACTTCTCTAAAGTTTGGGTAAAAAGTATGTAGTTTTTGGAAATGGAACTGAAAAAAACATGTCTTTTGAAAACTACACAATGCTTTAAATTTATTTTTTTCCAAACAGCAAAGAGCATTATAGTGGTTTTCGGTTTTGTTGTAGTTTTAATTGTAGCCCCAGTTAAATTAGCACTGTAAAAATGCACTTAAAGGGGTCAAAGAATGCAAAACCGACTTCACTTTGTCATAGATGTATAACGATAGTTCAGTGGGTGAAATGGACGTACAGAGAAGTTCAAACCCTATCGACACATCCTTTCTCTGCTAATCTCACAATTCTAAACTTCCACCATAAAATAGGCGAATCCAAACGAAGCCCTGAATTGACATACAGACAAGCCCACTGGTTCACTATCGTAAATGCAGTGTTCCAGGCTGCATACAGAATGGGTCCATTTTTCAGTCCTGGATAGTCCAAACAATAGACTGGACCGGACCAGGCTTTCGAAACTAGCCACGAACTCTGGGTCTGGTCCGGGAACCCCGGCAGCCGGGGACTGAGAGACCGAACCGTGTTCAGGCTACCGTCACCGTGTCGGGTTTGGTCGCTCCATCCCTAGCCCCGGAGCTCACGGCTCGGTTCGACTACATGCTGCACTGTAGTCGACCAAAGTCCCAGATCATTTTGAACTTAGCCCCAGAGGGTTTTTTTCGGTATGAAAAGTAGGACATGACCGGGGAAAAAAGGATGTCTGGTCACCCTACCACATCAACAATTTGATGTTTCAGTGAGTGAGTGCTTGTTGCTATGATGCGTCTTTGCTCAGCAGCTTCACTCGTAAACCAACCAATCAGCACACAGCTTATCTAAATATTCATGACCATACCATAAAAGGAAGAAAACATTCTAGGGCTTTTAACCAGTCTTGCATTAGGGCTTATAGAACAGCAAATATGCTATTTTCAGCCCAACCAATGTTACACACCCTATTCAGAGACCTTAAGGAGCAGCACCAAATACCCTATATAATCATTCAATGATCTCTTTAAACTCTGATATTTGGGACCACAAGTCAAACCTTTTGAGCTTCCTGGATTGCAATCTGGGAGGTTTGGGAACCAGTACTTGAACATAGTTTGTTGCGTTTTTTCCTGATATATAAATCAATAGTGTGAAATATGATCAGTCATATTTTCAAGGCCCTTACTAATCTAACATATAGGGGCTCCAGACGTTTGTTTTCCCCAGACTCCTAATCTTTCCCACTTTCACCTTCCCGGGAGCATTTTCTTCTCCATCTCTCTTTGCTATCAGCCAGTCTGCCCTCCTGCCCCTCCCTAGCCACCTCTTCCCTGCCTTCCTTTCTAAAGTCTCTCTGTCTCTTTGCTTTCTATCCTGCTGTGTTGCATCCCTGCTCCAGGAGTGAAGGGGTGGACAGGGAAGGAGAGGAAGGGGGAACTTGAGCTTAAGAGAGGGAGTGAGGGAAATAGGGGGAAGGAGGGCCCCTTCTTTATGAGAATGCCTTCTGCCGGGAGAGCTGAGGAGAACCCCAGCATGACTAAAGCCATAGGCCCCAAGCACAAATCTGACCTTTGGAGAGTCCATGCAAAGAGTCAGGTATTTAGCACAGCTGGGCTCTCTGCACATACCCTCCCTCTCTCTCTCCCCATGTTTCTTTTCTTTCTTTCATTTACCCCCTTCCTGTTTTCCCCTCCTCTTGTCTCCCTGTCTCCTTCCAAAGCATGCTAAGTCTCTGTCAGACTGATCCCCCCCTTTCAAACAGAAAAAAAAAGATAAAAGCGCAGGACAGAAATGAAAGAGAAGGGCAAACACTGACGCACACAAATCCATTGCAAAGCGGGATCTGTGGTTGGAGTGGTGGAACTGAGACGAGGATGTTTTGTCGTGTCGTTCTACCGCTTTGGAGTCTGGGAGCGCTGGAGGTCCTTCCAAAAAAGTGACGAGGGGAGTCTGTGCAGTGGCAAAATTAGTTCCACATGTTTGAGATGGAAATTGGTTGACCCACAGAGACTGTGAGGGGCAGTGGGAAAGGGGGACGAAAGGGTAGAATGATCCCTCTCTCTCTGTACCTGCTATTCTTTTTAAAGAGGAGAAAAAAGATTGCGGGGGATCACACCAGGAAACCAGGATATGCCCACATGTCAACAAACCCTGCACTTATTGGTTCCCCTGCTCCGCACATGGGCACCTCTTACCAAATGAGGAACAGTTGTTATCTCACATCTGCTGACATGAGGAAAAACTACAATGGGACAAGTTGGAAATGAGTTACTACACTTAGTCACTGATTACACAAAATCTTTCATACATGTGCTCTAGCATGTGTCAGTTTGAGATTCTTATGGTGAGATAACCGTGAGTAAAAAATTAAAACATGTCCTCAGTGCCTCAGAATTTTCATACAAAAATGTACAACATGATCTGATTGTATTTGAGGTAGCAGCTGTTTGGCAGTTGCAGAAGCAATATGAAGCATTGCCCTTAATCTTTCCTTTCATTCCTGTCTTTGATATTGTTTTTAAACCTTGGTACGCCCATAATTTAGAAAATATAAAAATGTTGGACTGGAAACAATTTCTATATCTAAGAATATTCTAGAAACAAACAAGAAAGACAAAAATACCTGAAACATCACAGTTTGTACTTTAAGCCAGCTAGCCAGCAATGGGTAGCTGAGAAAGAGCAGGGCTGCATGACGAAGTCAATGAAAACCTAAGTCACCTCAGCACTTCTGTGACATCTCACAGCACCCTTGTCAAAACCTCATTATCCCTTGATGTCAATAACTATCTATTCCAGTAAGATAATTTAAAAAAAATCTACAAACTTGACATGTTCTTACAAAACAGGAATATAAGGAAATAACTCCAGAAAAGACAAGATATTTGCTTGACAGAACAAAGTATATATACATTTAAATCTCATTGAATGAAGCCTGACACAAACAATCCCAAGTTTTGGATAATATTCCTGGGCTCAAAAAGATTGCAGCTGTTGAACAATAAATAGAATGTTTTCTTCAAATAAAACTCAAATGCTTTCTGCAAACAGTTCGACTTTCATATTAGACCAAAAGAGTGATATCTGCAAAAGTTTCTTTTTTCTTGCTATCTTTAAAACTATTTTTCTTTTCAAAAAGTTAAGTAGGTTCTATGCTATTAAACGGAATGTGGAAAGACTTAGAGAGGGCAGAATAAATACTGATAATTTGAAATTTTGTCTATATATATATATATATATATATATATATATATATATATATATATATATATATATATATATATATATATATATATATATATATATATATATATATATGGTACTTGATGTAGCTGTAACAGTCATGAGGTTTTGGTGTCTGAGTTCATTCCTGAACCGGAGGAATGGTTTCAAAGCACAGGAAACTTGAGCAAGCCAGCAGAGGGCTGCCTGCAAGACACCATTTACTTAAAAGGAAGGCTCAGATGCATTGATGTTTTGTACCCATCCCCGCCACTCCACCCCTCCAACCTCTTGACTAACTGCAAGGCAGGAGGGCACAAATATACAGCCATGTTCCTCTGAGACCCTTTGATCATGTGGTTTTAACTCCCCTCAGTCAAAAGTAAAAAAAAAAATGCACCAACGAATTACCCAGAGATCAGAATCAGCCAATTTTCTGACTGACTGTGATCAGTTAACAGTAGTACACAGTATTTATTAATTATATCAAATGATGGATGCCAATCTTTTTTGGTCTAAAGAGATTCCATCTAATAGCTGCCTTGAACTACCTTTTTTAAATTAAATACGATTCAGAAGAGGGTTAGAAAAATGAGCTTTGATAAAACAACAGGGTTATTCTATAATGTTTTAACTTCTGACTAGATTTGGAAACCTACCTCATCTAATGGCCATTTTTTATATATTAAATGTGCAATAACAGGAATAAAAATTATGTGCAAAAATCAGACTTTACAGAAAACCTAAAATTAGTATCAGCATCTCTAGAAACAACTGCTTCATATTTAGACAGTTTGATGAGGCTTTGATGGTGCTGATTAAAGTATGGAACATTCAATGCATCAAGCAGTTCTGAATCTGATCACAGGGCTGCAAGGTGAGCAGGAATGAAAAGTTACCTGTAGGTCTTCTCCAGCACCTCAGCTGCTGTCCGGATAGTAGCAGTAGCCCTCAGGTTTTTTGCAGACAGTCCCACTACAGACCCCAATGCCTTTGCCTTCAGGTCACTGCAACTCCACTCCTCTTCCTCCATAAGAGGAGGAAGGTATCCACACATCAGCTTGAGGCTGCCCAGCGCGCCGTGGCTCATGTAGGCGGCGTTCTCGCAGCCAGTGCGCACGTATTCGAGGTATATGTCAGAGGTCAGGAACATCTGGTACGCGTTCTCCTCCATGTGGGACTGGATCTCCGTCTGAGCCTGATCGAACATGGCCGAGTCTATCTGCTGCTTCTTGATACTATCTCTTATAAAGGTCTTGGTTGCCGGTTTGAGCTGCTTTGCCACCACGCTGTTGTTCTCGATGTACCGCTTGAAGATAACTTTGGCAACTCGCAGCGTTTTGGTATCCTTTAAGTCCATCTGCCTGAAGCCGTTGCAGGCGAACCAGAAGTCCAAAGTGTCGACGCAGTGCTCCCGCTCCAAGAAGGTCCTGAACAGGTGAGCGCCGTCCAGGTCGCCGAGTAGGAAATGCAGAGACTTGGTCCATCGGACTAGGGGGCGAGTCCGGGGACGCGCTGCCCTCCGGCTCTCCGAGTCCATCCTCGTTCCTCCGCGGCGTGGAGCCAACAAGAGCAGCAACAGCGGGGAGATCTTTAACTTTGCTCTGGGCTCTCATTTTGCTGCATCTGTTCGGGTTGTAGCATGACGCCTCTCCCTCCTCACCCGGCACCGGAGGACGAGGAGCATCTTCTCGGAAGCTGCCGCTGATGTGCTCCGTGAGCGCCCTGCTCATGGCTCCGGCTGCCTGTGTGAGAGTGCCGCCGTGGTGCCTCCGCTTCAGCTCCCCCACCCTCCCAAAAAAAAAAAAAAAAAATCCTCCTCACTCTCTAAAAGCAGCGGGGGAGCTTCTCAGCTCCTCTTCACTCTGAAACACAAAGTATTGATCTAATCAAAGCCAGATCCTGCCTGAACTTCAAAAGATAGACATCAAGTAAACAGTCCCTTTCAAAAAAAAAAAAAAAAAAAAAGAAATAAAAAAGAAAGAAACTCGAGAAAAGGGAAAAATGAAAGATCTTTTTCTCCCTAGTTTCATTTATCTATTTATAACCTAAATGAAAGATCAATTGCAGCCCACATTCTCTATGTGCATTGATCTGCCACATCAAAAACATTTCACCGGAATAATCATCTCGCTAACTCTCTTCATAGACTCGCATACTATAGTGGATTTACACGTGTTCTCCTAACGAGTCCATGTCACAGGCTTCAACTCCAATTAATTCCCGATCACACTCACAAGCGCGCGCGCACCTTGTCCGCACAGATCTGATCTGCACCGCGACTAACTTGGTGGGAATCACAGATCTATGCGCGATTATTATCAGTCATTCATTTGTTTCTTTTTCCCTTTTACAGTCCGGAAACGCGTCTAAACTATCAAATACTACGGTGATCTGTTAGAAGCGGAGGTAAATGGGGGGGGGGGGGGGGGGGAACGCACCATAATATGAGCAAGCGAGAATAGATGGCAAATTAACTCAACAAGCAGCATAACACACAAAGAAAATATACACATACCATGGCAGTGCAGAGTAGAATGAAATCCATAAAAATTCAAAAGAAAGTAAAGATCCAAGTCCATTTCGACTCAGTCCAAAACTCTCCGAGTGGTTATACAGTCCCAGTGAAGAGTGACGGGCGGACTTATACGAAGGCTCTGCCGCGCCGCACGCACGTAAAGCAAACGCTGGTACTTGAACGCACCCTGTCCCATTCAACAACTGACCTCAGAGTAGGCAGGCTCTCCGCCTATGTAGATCGCCGGGGGTGTTAAAAATCTGAAAGAGGGTGGAGAAGAAGGGGGGTGGGGGGGTCACACGTTTCTTTTTTTTTTTCTTCTCTTTTAATCCAACCAAAAGAAGAAGCACCACCCGACAAATATTCCCTTTTTTTTTATCTTGGCTACACATTCATGCATTCATGAACTCTCTCTCTCCCCCCAACACACACACATAAGCTTCTTATCTATCACACCGTATTTCTCGCCCACAAACAAGAAACACAGCCCGCATTTCTCAACTTCAAAGCTGAGCAGCAGCACATCAAAGCGGCCGAGAGAGGGGGCCTGTGGAACAGCTTCCCTATACAACTCACCATCCATGTTGCCGCTCTGATTAGAAAACGTTAAAGTATGGTCCCAAACAAGCAGCCTTGGCTTCGGTCCCTGTCCTATCCTATTGGAGAAGTTTAATTCAGCCGCAAATAAAATAAAACTTATTTTTTTATTTTATCCTAATCGTCTCTTTGTCTCCACAGGTAGGTGTTTCAAGAAGTCATGGCAGGCGGTTGAAATCCTCGTGGCTGTTTCTACACCAACTGGGCTAAAGGTTTAAGTGCGGACTTCAAAGCGAAGAACCGCTGGCCTGGTCCCGGAAGAGACATAAAAAAGCGCAACATCCCCGACTTCACGTTATAAGCGAAATAAAACACGGATTAACCGCCGGGTGGCGAAATAATAACACAAAACACAAGATTATAAACCGTTTTCCATAAAAAAAAGCTATCCTAAAATTTAAAGTTACACGTGTATGATATATTTTTTTGAAAATGTGCAGAAGGAAGGACTAAAGTAGTCTGTCAGGACCTTATCAAAGAAAGCAATCTTCAGCCAACTCCCTGAGGCTTTGGATCGTCAGAATTAAGTGATCCACTGCATCAGAACTTTTATCCTAAACTACCCCTCTGTAACAACACAAAGTTTCAACAGGGATACAAAGAAAACAAAAGCAGTATTGTGGTTGACTGTGACCTTCTAAAGTGACAGGAGTACAGCCACCTTTGCGGGACCTTTGTGATCATCTAATTTTAACATTTATGAGATATTTTTTGTATTAGACAGAGGTACCTCTTGAACAAATTAAATCCACATATTCCATCTCTAAATATATATGCAAGCCATCCTGCTTAAAGATAAATAGAGGCAGACAAACAGGTCAAAGTGTAAATATGGATGGGAAGCGAAAAGTCTTCAGACTTGGAAAACAAAGTCCAGTGGATTGTTTTTTAACTTTTTTGGAATAACTATGACTTGGATGATTGAGAATCTTCACCAGCATCTGTTGCCAACATTTTGGTGGTAGACACACAAGTAGTATATTCTAACCCTCAGTGGCTCATGGATGCTTTGGCAGAAAAAGGGATATCAACATACTATTTGGCAGGTGTTCATAATGTTATGCTTCTTCGACATATAGTGAGTTAATGTCTAATATCCCTTAAAAACATTTTTTTTCTACTTAACAATTGTAGATTTCTCAAAGAAGAGGATTAACTGTGTTTAAACACATTTTACAATTAGTTTACCAAACCCAGCCCAGTTTAAAAGCAAAATAAATAGGGACATAAGGCTGAAGAACCATTAGAGGGCACAAAGTAGCCTTTTTGAATGTAGAGGTGACACATGGTACTTTTGTCAAACACACATGATGATGCTTAACAGAAGAGAGTTAAATAATTTATTACGGTAAATAGGATTTTAAATCTTTGTGACATCGGTTTCTCCTTATAAATTAATATATATGTATGTAGGATAATATTCATACCCTTTTTTTTTTTAGAAATAAATAATCCATTAAAACAACAGTTGTGAGATATATGGTTAAAATCTGAAAAAATAGTGGATGCTTTAAAAACATTGCCTGGTTTTAAACACTTTAACCCTAGAATTGGTGTTAAGTTATTTATTTCAATATGCATGTGCATTTACTTTATAGACTTATGTGCTGTTAAGAGAAACAGTAGAAATTGTGTTAAGATAAGATTAGATAGGATAGACTTTATTGATGGAGAAATTCACTTTTCATATGGGCTCAATAGTCAAAAGAAGGTGCCAAAGAGTTTGCCCTGAAATCGAGAATAGGTGCACGGAGTATATACAGTGCGTAAATGGTAAATGGCCTGTACTTATATAGTGCTTTTTTTTCCAAGGCAGGAGACTTGAACAAAGCGCTTTACACTATATTCAGTTATTCACCCATTCACACACACACTCACACACTGATGGTGGCAAACTACATTGTAGCTACAGCTGCCCTGGGGCTCACTGACAGAAGCGGGGCTGCCGAACTTGTTTCTTCTACTGCTTTCTATTAATAAAATCAAATAACTCTCCTCTGTTTCTCAACTTCTCTCATAAAAATAGTTGTTTTCTATATTTTTTGTGTCGATATATTAAGTGCTGATAGCAAAGGTTGTGCCAACAATGTATTCTTAGCTGCTCATCTTTTATCCGTCTAAAAATATATTTTCTTTGGGGAGCTTTTAACATTGGAGGCACTGAGATTAAATAGAATAGATCATCTCTTTTAAGTCCACATTGGTCTGTAAAATATCAGGCCCTCAAAGGGCAGAAGTTTGACCAAAAACCTTTAGAGAACAACTTACTGTACTCGGTCGGACTAGCCATGCTGTCCATTAGGTTTACAGCTCACTTTTCGCAACTAATCCTCTTCATATAAGGAAAACTGTGGAAACTTTGGAGTTGCAGCATTGCAACCAAAGCAGAACTGCACTGCAGTCTCCATATTGAAGCGTTTTTTGCACAACCTACCTGAACCTACAACCTATCTGAACTGTTGATAATTGAAGTTCATATAATGAGTTTTTCCAGAGTTCCACTTTTGTAGTCACTTCAAATTGACTTTGGACTATGAAATTTGAACAAGGAAATATTCCCTATTTTTGTCATGGTTGTCTTTTATTATGTCTTTTATCACAATATAAGAAAACAAACAAAAAAGTCCAGTTTTTATATTCTATATTGATATGCTTTCCTTTCAGTCTCAGCATTTAAAAAAAAGCATGCCACTTCAGGTGCTTTTATTCTCAAAATGTCTCTAATGGCAGAGTACTGTAAATAATAAATATTTACACCATACAAATGAGATATTGGTTCATGTGATTTCTATAGGGACTTCATGTGGCCTTTGACCTTGGCACTGGTGTACACAATGAATTAGAAGCTTTTTTTTTGACTTATGGGCCTGATTGGATAATCCTGTGAAGTGTAACTGTCAAATAATTTACATATTAGTCACAGGATTTTAGCCATAAAGATGTGAGCGGAATGCACTTGCAAGTTCCACATTCAGGGAAAAATGGCACAGCATGACATTTTGATTGAAATTGGACACAGAGCAAAGGCAAAGAGCCGTTCTCTAGTCTTTTAATTCACATGACTTCCCTAATGTCATTGTGACAGAATCTTAAAGAGTGGGTTAGACAGTGATCCAATCCCATGGTACTTCAAAGGCTATATTGTCCCTTTGATGTTGAAAATCAACTTAAAAGGAGGATATAATTATATAAGTCTGTGGATTCAAATTCTCAAAACTCCCATGATGGTAAAGGACAGGACAGTTAATGAAATCCAACTTCTATGAGGTCACTAAATGCTGATTAATTCATGCTGAGTTATTAAGAAAGCAGAAAAAAACATAATGTAGAAACTCTAATGTGAATTCAAAGTTAGGTGAAAATGTTCTATCTTATATAAAATCTCTCTAATCTAGTTATCTATTATCTGTCTGTCTGTCTGTATATCTGTCTATTTATCTTAATTTGCAGTGTAACTGTGTGTATTTCTGCTGAACCAAACCGTATACTACTCTCAGTTCTGCACAACCCTGTGATGAATTGTTTGATGCAGTATTTGTTTATATAGCAGTTCATTGTTTCATTAAATTTATTGCATGCCATCACACGGAATTCAATGGTGGATCCTAAAATCTTTGCCTCTATTTGATGAAAAACGCTTATCATCCCGTTTCTAACAACGTGTAACAAAATGGCTACAACTAACCCACAATTCAACCCAACTTGCTTTTTTTGTAAAATTTCTACTTCACTCCCTTCTACCCAAAACCATAACCAGGAACGATGGCCAAAATTGACTAGCCTACATCAACTTTTTCCCGTTTCTTCTTTCCTGTTCTACATACATTGCAGTGTCCATATAATCTGTAATATTTTCTGCAGGAATTATAATAAAGCTATTTATATGCATACATCAAGCAGAACGCTATGGTGATAGCCGTAGTGCTCCACTTGTGAAAGCACAATCTGTTCAGTTCTTTTGGGCTTCAAGACAATTATTCTTATTGCCACATTGCCAGACAGGACACTGTTCAAAAAAGAAAAAAGACTACACCTATATTTGCAGCGTGACCTACAGAAAGAGAGATGCCTACAGGCATAGATACGCTGCCTTTAGAAAAGCACCTTTCTTCTACCCCTTGCTACTGTAGGATATATAATTTGATATCCAGCTAAACCATGTTGTTACAGATTTATGTCAAGTAAATAAGCCCCATAACCTAATAAGGAAATTATCTAATCTCCCACTGTGCAGATGCTCTGTGAGCATTGATGAAGATGTGCTGAACATGGAAAGAAAAATGCTGGTAGATGCTCTGAAAGACTAAGTCTAAAACACATTTAATTGTTTGATCCACAAAATTCACTTTTTTGCTTCATGTTTAGACTCACATTTTAAATATGCAAACACAGCAATTGTGTCAACACAGTTAAACACTTGTAGAAACATTACAGGTTGAACCCTTTACAACTCTAACACAACTTGAAAGCCTCAACTCTATGTTTTTAATTTATTTCAAAAGTCCATAGCGCTGTTTACTAATGCTGGCTATCGGCTTTATTTCTATAGTTGTTTGTGAAATCCATCCATCCATCCATTTTCTTACACGCTTGTCCTGAGTGGGG